ATTGTATATCAGCTGCAACAGGGGAGTGGAAGTGTTAATGTGCAATGTCACACCAGGCTTATGACTTTGGGGCACAAAGGGTTAATTAGTATATTACATTCCCAGTTCATTGCATTAGGTTAGTCTTTTCTTCCTGAGTTGCCGTGATATGCTTCCTGTATTACCAGATGTTTTCAGCTCTGAAGAAGAAAGCAAAGCTTATGATTTATCATGCTGTAGTTTTCTTTGATGAGAATACCTGTGACATCTTCCCTCAACTTTGGGTCATTGATGACCAAACTTCTTGGTATCCCTGCAAATTGACAAAAGCAAGGTCTTACTGCAATGCCTTGAGGCGACCAGACAAAATGGAGTTTTCCAAGTGTAGAATGGAGAAGAAGTACAGTTATAGTGAGTATTTGTTTAAAACTTTGGTTAAGAGTCCAATTGTAACTTTTAAGACTGTGATGTGCAGAGTTTTGGTAAACATCCCTGTCCAAGTATCAAATTGCACAAAATTAGGTTTTCTTTTTTTGCAATTTACAATATGGTGTTATCATTGATGTTAAAGAAAATTTCATATAATATGCTCTTGGGTCAGCTCAGATTTGAAATTATCCTATTTCACTTAAGAAAGTCATGCATTTTCATAACCTGAAAATGCATTTTCCTGGAAAAAAAATTTGTAAATGAATCCCATGAATTGGTGCACCAGTTAGTGTTCTACCCTAAAAGAAAGCAATACTGTATATACTGCCCTCCAAAAGTCTTTCAACACTTTTTCATGATTGAAATGCTCTGGATCTATAGCATCATCTAAAAGAAAAATTGGATATCCTTAGACAGCTTAATTTGTTATCTTTGCAAAGTACCCACATATGTCAGGATTTGTGCCATCATTTGTCTAAAATTTGCCTTGAATCTGTCTGGATCTATTTTTTAGCATGAAACAATTAAAATCCATCATCAACCAATTGTTGGAAAGCCTACTTCTCTAGCACGCCATGCAAGAATAATGTTTTTTCTGTGCACCTTAAGGAAAAGACTCCTGTCAGTGTCCTCTAAAACTCTTGCCAGTTTTTCCATCATCTCAAAATCTCTGTACCTACGCTTGGTCACTACTCTGTTTGCAGGTTATGATTAATAGTCCTACTCACACCTGAGTAATTGATGCCAAGATGGCAAGAAATGGCCAGACAGCTTCGAAAGGATGGGGGAACAATTCTCCAGTGTTCCAACTAAGACACCATGATCATATTTCTCAGGCTTGCCAGAAATAAGAATGGGGATAGGGTGATGTTTCTGTCATTGTACCAGATGGAAGTTCTGAACCTAATTGTTTCCATGGAAATTTAGGGGATATGGAGGCGGAAACCCTGATGGTAATGGCTGCTTTGCACAGTTAAGAGAATAAGTTATTCCAAGGCCAATGTTTTCCCCTTGGTGCCATAGGTACAGGGATTCCAAATGATGAAAAAACTGGCAAGAGTTTTAGTGGACACTTGATGGGAGTCTTTTAGTTAAAGTGCACAGAACAAACATGATTCTCAAATGGCATGCAAGAAGGAAATTTGGCTTTCCAACAACTAGTTGGGGATGGATTTTTCAGTGCCATCATTTTGGACAAATGTTGGCACAGATTGTGATATGATTGGGTGCTTTGCTAAGGGAACAGATTAGGCTGTCCAAGGACATACCATTTTTTGCAGCTGATGCTATAAGTGCTGAGCATTTCGATCACAAAAAAGTGTTGCAAAATTTTTGGAAGGCAATGTATTTTTTAATTATGGTATATGCTCATGTTTTTAATTTTTTAAATATCAATACAATAGAATTCTATTGTATTGCATATTATATTGCAGCAAACAAAGACCAGGTTTCTGCAAAGGTTAAAAAGCTCAAGAAGAGTAGTGATGTGGCCACTACTGATTATGAAAAAAGAAAGAGACCTCATTGTCTGGAGAGAGGAAGCCAAAAAAAAGCATCTTTCTAAGCGACAACACAAGTCACCTATCCCATATCCACCTTCATCTGAACCTGAGGATGAAGATGATGGTGACTCGTTGAGCAGCTGTCACTGTTCTCCAATTGCATCAAAGCAGAGGAGGAGTATTGAGAAGAATCAGTGAGTAATTTCTTCAATTTCCTTTTGTGCTTGCTGCTACTTCATCTCAAAACTCTGCTGAACAAGACATAATTGCAGTGTGCAGCTCCTAACAGGCTGAAATTCCTGTTTCCTTCCTTTTGAGGTATGCTTTTTTAACTACAATCAAGCTTCTGCAATTGGAAACTAGATTCCCTCTCCATTCTCAACATAGTACAAGCCATTCTGAACATATAGGGTGATCCATATTTGGATACCACCCCAAAATAATAGGGGAAAATTACAGAGAAACAACAGCAAATTAGTTGAAAGCCCTAGCCATCACTCTCAATGCACTGATTAAATCTTTTAACACTCTCCTGTTGCACTAATCCAACATATCCAGTGTCATTTGCTTACAACATCCAATTATGCATAACCTCAGTTTATTGATATCTCATGGTTTTTATTAGTTTCACACTTGCTTGCAATAGACTTTTGAGGGCTGTTAAGCATGGTATCCTTTGCATGAGACACATTCTCCTCAGTTCTTATAGTTTTTACTGTTTTTCTTTGAATTGCCAATCGCACCTGTGTCACAGAATTAGCTATTCAATTTGTGAATAGTTTTCCCTTGGAGTGGTGCACACCAAAATTTCTTAAAATAATAGGGGAAAATTACAGAGAAACAACAGCACATCAGTTGAAAGCCCCTACCATCACTCTCAATACACTGATTAAATCTTTTAACACCCTCCTGTTGCACTTAGTCCAACATGGGCAGTGTGATTTGCTGACAACATCCAATTGTGCGTAACCTCACTTTGTTGATATCTCTTGGTCTTTATTAGTGTCACACTTGCTTTACATAGATTTTTGAGGGCTGTTAAGCATGGTATCCTTTGCATGCTACACATTCTTCTCAGTTCTTATAGTTTTTACTGTTTTTCTCTGAATTGCCAATCGAACCTATGTCAGAATTTGTGATTCAACTTGTGAATAGATTTCCATTGGAGTGGTGCACACCAAAATTTATCCTGGAATAGGCATTGTGTGTATGCCATAAATCTGTGAATCTCCATGTTACCACTTCTCTATTCTTCAGTAAGATATTTACTATATTTATTTTGTTGCAGATTGCTATTCTGGCATCTACTATCCGAAATATGGAAGGGAAGGAAGCAGTCTCAACTCTCATGCGTTGACTCATGGATGATGGATCTGCCCTTCACTTTGTTTGCAAGTCCACAAGACACAAGGAGAAGCAGGCCCTTACAGAACTGGGCATCTTTTGCCTCATATCAAGTATTTTTATTGAAAATTGATGTGATCAGTGCAATTGTATTTCTCATTCCTTAAATGTCAGTTCTACATTAACCATTCAGCATGTAAAAGATTATCTTATTGTGGGAAACTCAAGTGATCATCATTGAAATAAAGTTTCTATATTGCAGAAGCCATTGATTGCATTGGAAAAGCTGCTTCCATGTCTCAACAGGAGAGAGCCATCTTTGTTGGTGACTGGCTTCGGCAGGCTAAGCAGCGCCTTCGTCAGAAGGAACGTGCACAAATGTGATTCTTTGTGATTCACTTGTTCAAAAGTGATTTTCAAGTGAAGAAATAAAAAATTATGAATCCTTGGTCATATGTATCTATCACATCCATGTGAAATATACAGATTTTCATTAATTTGCTGGCATTAGACCTGGCAATCTATAATGAATGCAACTTCTCTTATGAAGCATGCCACCTTGAGAAAAAGATAATGGGAGCCAATCAAATCATTCAACACAAGCCTTCTCAGATACTGTATTGAGGCCCATTCATGTTGATTTTAATTTCATTTAGGAAAGCCTTATTTTGCATGTCACTGCGTGTTCACCAATGTGTGGACATGAAAATCAGCTTTGATCCTCCTGGTCAAGGTTTACGGTGAAGAGATATACATTTGACAAGGGCCTTGCAAGTGTTAACGTGAAATTGACGTAACATCCACGTCAATATTAATGTTGGAGAAGAGGTACAAATTTGACAAGTTATTGATACAATGACCTTGTAAATATCAGCATGAATTTCTTGTTAAATTCGCGTTAATATTGATGTTCATGGAGTGGTACACAATTGACAAGTTGTTGATACAATAACTTGTCAATATGAGCGTGAGTTTTACGTCACATCCACTTGCTGTTGTAGATTTGTCCACATCAAGTTGATATGAATTAAACATACTTGTGCTGCCTGGGAACTGGCACATGATTGAATGACAATTGTGTTAAAATTATCATTTTCCAAAACATTCGGATGAATTGAAGTGTCACCTCCGGCATCTTCTAGTTTTATTTTTAAAAGTGCTTTTATGAGGCTATATTTTGTGGATTACAATTGAACTACTAGAGGTGAATCGATGTAATCATTAGCTACAATATATTGAGATATAATTAGGCTTATTTCTCTAAAGCATTTCAATTGCTCATGCTTAAGGTAATGGGGAGTTGTTATGATTGTCACACAATCTAATATATATCGACGATCGTGACTGACTGACGCTAATTCTAACCATGTTCTAGAAGGGTTAAAAATCTGAAACTTGGTACACATGTACCTTTTGGGTCTAATATATATCGACGATCGTGACGGACTGACGCTAATTCTAACCATGTTCTAGAAGGGTTAAAAATCTGAAACTTAGTACACATGTACCTTTTGGGATGCAGAGTTCAGAAAAAATCCAACTTGGGGGGGGGAAACGTTTTTCTTAGATATATTTTGTGACAAATGAGGATGTCACTCAGAGAACTAATTTGTTATGCTGGGTTCGTTGGTGTGGTGGTAGCATATCTGACTGGCAATCAGAAGGTCCGGGTTCAATTCCCTGTCATTCTTTGGCTTACTTTTGGCCTTTTTTGCCTTCCATGTCCCGTTACTCATTCCTCCTCAATAACATTATTTTTGCTTGAGTAAAACGGAGAGACATGAAAAGCTGAAACTTGGCATGGACGTGCCTACACAGACGATGAGTTCAGGGAAAATGCAAAATTTCAGATCCATTCCCTGGGGGCATATTTTTGTGAGCCGACGTTTTCATGTATTTTTTTTGTCCTTGCGGATTGAGCTAGTGTGGAAAGATGAAACTTGGTACATAACTACCTGTTGGAATGCTGCAGAAAACTTCAGACTTTTGAAGTAAATGCACTGGGGACACAAATGTCAAAAGGAGATGTTTTCAACTAAATTTTTAGCATCAGTTAAACTAATGAACATGGAAAGCCGGAAATTTGTATGAATGTGACTACTGAGACAAGGAGTTAAAGGAAAATGTTAAGTTTCGATACATCCCCTGGGGGAATTTTTTCGAGGTTTTAAAAAAAGAAATTGCCGTGGCGAATTGGAAAGAAATGGAAAGGTGACACTTGGCACACGTATAAGGGACCTGATCTTACTGAGCTGAGGGAGTATTCAGCTTTCATGGTGCATCCCCTCCGGGCATAGCGTTAGGGTGGGTCGGTTTTTCTAAACATTTTTTTCACCAGCGAATAGGGCGAATGTATAATATTGAAACGTTGTGTGCATGTAGTTCACTGATTTCGATGGAAAAAAAAGGTACGTTTCGGTTAAAACGGCTCAGGGCACATATTTTGCAAATGGCGTTTTTTCACGAATTTTCTGATCCACCAAAACAGAGGGCACATGAAAGTTAAAAATCTTGGCAAATAAGTACCTGACGGATTGCTGCGTAAAGAAAAAAATATACTTTTCAAATATATATAGACGATCGTGACTGACTGACGCTAATTCAAAGAGGGGAAACGTATAAAGCTGAAACTGAGTGGCAAGGAGTTCCCTGAGTCAATTTTTCAGAATTTAAAATAAATTTAGTTAAAACAAATCAGGACACTTTTTTAAGTCCCATTTTCGTGAAATATTTTTCGTTCCAACGAAACAGAAACTGAAAATTTAGAATTCCCTCGGAAGTACTTGTTTGATGACTGAGTAGAGGAAAAATCCTACATTTGAAATATGAACCCTTAGCGTAGATTATAGGAGGGAAGTATTTCAAAATGTATTCTCCACCCTTACTAATTTTAATAAAAATGAAGACTTTCGTCCCCATATGTCACGTATTTCAATGAGACGTACTTTAAATACGTGTTTGCCATTTCGCAAAGAATAAATGAACTAATCACTATTCAAGGTAATGGAGCGCCGAAGGCGCGACCACAGCGAGTTTGTTTGCCCGAAAGGCAAACAAACTCGCTAGTATGATATACTTTCCACCTGGCGATTACCCATGTTCTTGTCCATCAGTGATGGTATAGATGGAAAGTTACTTATACTATATGACTGACATAACATATTCCTACTATTATACCTTAAGCCTAGCCTATTCAATACATGAGAGAGACTTTGCCTAATTATATCTGAAGATGATATAGCTCATGATGCCATTGAACCACTACTGTTAGTTGGGTTGTAATCCGCAAAATGAAGCCTTGTTAAAGCACATTTTCGAATCAAATAACCAGATCCAGGAGGCGACTCTTCAGTGCATCCAATTTTTTGGGGGGAAAAACTATTTTAACACTATTTTGTTCAACCATGTGCCATTTATATGTATCTTTTACTTCACACTCATAGTTTGCAATATTTACGCATTCTTTATTTTCGCCTCAGGGGTGATCGTAGCGTGGAATTACCCACCTGCATTACGATTTTCGGAATTCCTTTCCCTGATTTAATCCATTTCGATGACGTCATCATCCTCCAGACAAGACCAAAAATCTTGAAACCCTCAAATTGCATGAAGCCCTCAAATTTTGCATTGACAATAATGAAATTAAGTTTTATTTTAACTACAGTTTTTTTCGGCTGTTCTCCCACAAAATGACAATCCCAGGATAGAGCTACACCCAATCCTTTATTCCTCGACAACCACTCGACCAATAGTTCAATTTAAATATTCAATCGCTGAAGAAGTATTTACCCCCACCAGTAGAACCAGCCGGACGCGCCACCCCAGGCGTCCCTGCCGGTGAGTCCCGCCCCCAGCGGAGGGAGCCCGTCCACCGTGAATGGGAGCTGGTTGAAAAAGTTCCCCATGAATCCAATCACCGCTGGAACAACTGCAAGGAAATGAAGGTTTCCATTCTTTCGAAAGTCGAATATTTTCGATTAGTTACCATTAATTACGTTTCTCTGCCAAATTCGTCACCATATAATCGCTATTTCTTCGCAGAGTATCTCTATGTGCAACCAAATTACCTCTATTAGTTATGTAATTCTCCCTATTTGTATTTGTCTACTCGCTGCATGCGGGTGGTTTCGATGCTTCAATGCAAGTACCTCGTGAGGGGTCAATCTATAGGTGCAGTATCTCGAAATTAATTTTAAACTGGATTTATTTCAGGCAACCGCTTCCAGGCAACCAGGGCCAAATCGGCCTAAGCAGAACTAACAAAAAAGTCATGATAATTCGAATCATCCCTGACTTCAGGTAATAAATGTAAAATGGACAACACGGCGCCCATGGTTTCGGTCGAAAGTCTTCCCAATGTCCAATCAATCTTTGTCCTTGCCATGAAGAAGAAAGGATCCGATCTTACGGACGATCGCAGCCAGGAACGCCTGGATCCCAATAATGAGGTCGGTGAGGTCGGGGATGAAGATGGCCTTGAAAGGGACAGGCACTGTCATTGTCTCCTCGTCTTCGTCTTCTTCCGTCATTTCATCCTCCTCTTCCGCCATTTCATCTTTCTCTTCCGCCATTTCAGCCTCCTCTTCTCCCATTTCATCCTCTTCTTCCTCCATTTCAGCCTTCTTTTTGGGTTTTCCATACTTCATTTTCGCCTTTTCCTCCTTCTTTTGCTTCTTTCCATACTTCTCTTTCGCCTTTCCTTTCTTATTTTTTGCTTTTTCCTCCTCCTTTTTCTGCATCTCCTCTATCATCATCATGAGCATATCCTCCATCTTATTGCTGCGCATAAATGTACACCATATTCGCTAAATATATTCAACACTGTTTTCATTTAATCGGTTGCCATAGCGGCTGTGGAAATGAAACGTGCATATTTAAGAACTCCAAAATACAAATCAGCAACACAATCAGGACAATTGCTTCCACACTCTCTGGAAATTAAATTAAAAGGACCGGAAAGAAAAGGGAGTGCTTATTCAATAGTTATACGGAGGCGGAAGAGGCGATGAAAAGAAATCTAGCGGTGACTTTCCTTCCTGTGAGATTATAGCGAAGAAAATACCGGATGCCTTATGCTAAATAGTCAAATAAGTATCGAATATTTGGTATTTTCGTCATGCTGTATATAAACTATTTCTCTTCATAATCATGAAGAAAAACAGTGATACAATTTTTCATTCCCGTTTCATTTTTACCTATGTTAATATTGCTGAAAAATGTGAATCCGCCTCTTCATTTAAGGGAAGTTCATCACAAAATTCAATGCAAAGCATTTCAGCATTGCCAATCAACAACCTTCGTGACTGAAAACGCGATCGTAGAAACTTCCCTTACGGAAATGTCCTATAAGAAACCTTTAGCTATTTCTTATAGGAAACCTATAGACTTTCCTATAGGTTTTTGAAACACGAAAAACCTATAGGATCCTTTAGAATCCTATAGGATCCCTATAGGG